GTCTGTGATTATGAGTGGGACTGACCCTGGCGCTCCCCTGTGTCTGTGATTATGAATGGGACTGAACCTGTTGCTATGTTCCCTGTGGTTTTGCATTCTTTGTGCAGGGTGTTGCGCAAATTTCAGTACCTTCTGAACCCAAGACAGGTCTACAGTCTGGATCGAGCTGGACCTACTGCAGGGTGAGTCTTGTGACCTTTCCACGCGTTTCCAGAATTTCCCAAGGATGCTCCTTTCCAAGGTCAGGCTAAGAGAGAGACGAGACCCAATGTACTGTTTTGTTGACAGGCCTCCAGTATTGCTCCTCCCCATCTCGCTCTATCACCCTCTTCTCTGTTTACGTCTCTATTTTTTGACCCACACCTGTCTCTGACTGTATCTGTGATTAGGTATTCAGAACAGAAAGCCTTCACAGATGAGTGCCTTTAAATTTTATATAACAGGAGCCTTTCACCCAGGCAGTACTTGTAGTATGGGCTGTCTGGCTGTGAGCCACTTCCACCGGCAGCCCATGGCACCCTCTTTCTGCTCAGAATGGGCCTGATAAATCAGTTGTACAAATTAGTTGGTTGTCAGTAGCCTTTAGTTTCATTGAGCATTTCCTGGTGATGGACTGGCTGTCATTCATCAGGTCTGTGTTCACCCTTTGGGTCCGTGGTGGATGTGAATCAAGGAGCCGCATCTCAGCTGACCCCTGACCAGCAGTGGGTGGAGTACCTGAAATCCATACTCAAGTTAGAGGAGATACCTGTCCAGGGAATACAATTACTGGTGTCTTTAATAAGCCACTGCAGAAAAAATTTGGTTGCTCATACAAAATGTTAGAAGTCTTATGTAATATTCATTGTCAATAGAAACATATTAAAATAAAAGTATAAAGTACAATTTCTTTATAGTTGTAGTTGAAAGTTGCTAATTTTGTTAATACTCAGGTAAAATTCCCAAAATAATACTTAAGTAGACAAAGTAGATTCTCAAGTATGTGGTCCAAGCAAGCAGAGATACTGAATAATAACAGTCATGTCATCTCCATAGCAAAAGCCTAGAGAGCATCGCAAAACAACACACATACATCACAAGAATTATAACCAGACATTCAGCTCCTGTTATTATGTCAGAAGCCAGCTGGGTCTCTGAGCTGTGTTTCAAAGCAGCATTCCTGCTTCTCTTTAATCACGATCAGCTCTTTATGCCACAGATAAGGCTTACACAGGGCCTCCGTCTAACTGAACATCCAGCTACAAAAAATGGACACATTTGGAGCAACGTGGGCGTCAGGTACGGTGCCCACGGTTTGTCCCGTCAGAGCGCGTTTCCTTGGAAACGGCCCCGGTGTGCCGCTTGCGCAGTGTCGCTCCATGGTAAAAAGCAGCAGTGAGACACGTTGTTCAGAAAACTCTGCCAGTGAAGTAAGAGCATCCGTCTGCTCTTCCTCCTTCAGTCACGACACGGGCCCTTCGGAGTCGTGGCTGTACAGAGAGGACCTGTAAACGGAGGACGGTGACGCAGATATCTAATGAGAGAGAGAACGTTTAATAAAGAAGAGGCTGCAGAGGTCACAAACGTGACTAGGGGTTTCTTTTGGGTAACTACTCAGCACAGGCATGTCCTCAGATTCAGTATACAGCTAATTACATAAATTACCAATGAAGGCATTCAGGTTTGAATGAAAAGACAGGAGTGTCTTGAAAATGTGAAGCAGGTCACACCCTTTCAGTTTCTGACCACAGGCAGGTCCTCCTCAAACCCTCCCTCATTCTCCCTCATTGCAAAGGTCTACCTATAGAGAGGCCCAGAGTAGAAGAAAATTCTCAAAATTAGGGCAAAATTTTGCAACTCATTGTGTCTGTATCTGCAGTAATACACATGCGTGTCTGTCTGGTCACATTTCTTGTGGGGTTAAATCAGTTTAGACACCCTGGGGAGTCGAGTACCGGCGGCACCCCCTGTTGTTCCCAGTGGTCCCTGGTGACATCGCAATATAAATGATGATGTCATAATGGTGAGGGGTCAGCCTTCCCCTGACTTCACCTTCTTGATGAGAAATACTCATTGTGAATAAAAAAGTACCCTCCATTCATTGAAAGTCACTGGCTGTGGACATTTAAAAAATGGTTAAATCAAGGTATGTAATTTAAGGTAATTTAATTGTCTATTTTTTTTCCTACCTTCTTTTCTTTCGTTAACCGTCATTTAATAATGACGCTTTGAATGCCTTTCTTCTTTCTGTGATAATACATTAACCCTTGAATTTAATCTTGACCCTCTGTCCCATAAGCTGCTGCCATCACAGTGTTAAATTAGCACAGGAGATGCATGAGGTCAGCAGTGATGTAAAGCAGAACAGGCCGCGCAGTGTCATACACAGCCTGAAGGGGGCGCCCAACGCGATTAGACTGTAAGCCGTCTGCATGTCTGCTGCCCCTCTTTAGACTGAACTTCTTCCATGATGTGCCTGACTTCAGAGTTCTGGCATGTGGAGGTGACGGGACCGTGGGCTGGATCTTGGACTGCATTGGTAATAAATCCTTTGACTCACAGGGGTAGGGGGGGGGCACCGTTGGGGGTGGAGTGGGAGTGTTGAAGAGACTGCTTTTTGTTTGATACCCTTGGTGTCAACAGAAATAATGAAATGGAAGGAGAGAATAGGTCATTGCAAGAGGTGCGACTGATTTTCATCCAAACGCCCTACATACAAGCCGCCTATAAAACGGAACATGCAAAGCCCTTGGCTGTCTACTGGTGCCCAATTCCCCATGCAGATAGACAGCGTTGGGTTTACTCAGGCTTGGACAGGAGCCATGTGATGACAGAATCTTCCCTTAGGAGCTGTTCGTAGACCTGAGGCTGAATGTAAGAAAATGCCCCCTAACTGAAGGAGCACGATATGGCAGAATAAATAGTGCAGGTATATTTGGCATGAGGATGTCAAATGCTCAGCTTGTAAGACCTACTTAGACACACTGAGCATTATTTCTAACCTATTTTTAAGTTTTTCAGTGTATGCCATTTTTATACAGGCATCCCACTGCTTAGTCCTGTTTGCAGTATATTCATAACTAACCTTAAAAATACTAGCTTTTTTTGAAATTGATGGTATCATCCTCCACACACCCAATATAACGCCAACACACGACAGAGCTGTGGATTAGGGAAAAAAAAATTGCCTTGTGGAACAATTCGGTGTGTTTTTGCAGTGTACCAGGCCGTAAAATTTCACCAACCGTTTATCCACTTAGGTTTTTTTAGTAACCCGCAGGATACGCCGCGATATGGCCACACCGGGGACCGAGTGGCCCGGTTTCTGTGGCACAACTGCTTTGGGGCACTTACTTGTGTGAGTGTTCTATTTGGCATTGGTGTCCTATAAGCGAAAAGGCCCCAAAATGGCTCAAGCAGCTCCTGTCCCCATTACCCTGTCATCCATCTCACTGACCTGCTTCTCCGTCTACCTGCAGACAAGGCCAACCTTGGCAGGCATCCACCAGTCGCAATCCTGCCCCTGGGCACCGGGAACGACCTGGCGCGCTGCCTGCGCTGGGGTGGAGGTGAGCTGGGAGGATGGGGGTTGTGCCTCTGGACCTCCGGAGGGGGGGTCCATCTCTGTGTTGCCACGGAGTCACTCACAGCGACACTGAATGAATGTCGCGCTGTTGTTTTACATCGAGTGTTTGGGGCGCGTGTGGAGCCCGCTGTGAAAAGGCATATTATGGTGCTCCATCGAAACACTCGGCCTACAATAAATATCTGGAATAGCAGAGGCAGCAGCCAGAGTTCATAGAGTGAGTTCAGTGAGGCAGCTGGATTTGCAGAAAACACAACAACGAAAATGTTCAGATGCTGTGAGAATGTAGGAAGATTTTATTCGTGATTCAGAATGTTTTCACTTCACTGTTAGATACTCTGGACCTGGCAACTTCACAGCGTTCTGCTAGTTTGCGATGATTTAAGCTCATTCATAAGGCTTCCCTTACTGTAAACAGCACAGAAATGTATGATTAATGTGGCGTAGCTGGTAAGAGGCGTCACATGTAAGAGCCAATGAAGAACGGCATGTTAACGTGCTGCTTCATGTATATCAACCACACTTTGCACTGATTCCTCTGCTGTCATGGGACATGGACATGTAACATCATTGAAGGAACCCTAAATTCTCTTGCATACAGCTCCGCATTTTACAGGGGTGAATCCACAAGAAAGTCGGCTTCCTCCTGATAGACTCAAACACCTATGATGGCAAAGGTTGCCATGGTCCTGAAGCAGAAAAAAATTCCACTTCCTACTGTCTTTGAAATAAACATAGCAGTTCACTAAGTGGACACTGTCAAATTTATAGATGACTAACTAGCGGTTTTAGTAAACCAAACTCTAAACTAACCTAACCCCCACCACCCCCGATGATGTAACATCATTCTGCTAATCAGTGCCGGCAAGTGACTGAGAGGTTAGCCGGTTATCAGCATCGGTATTTGCAATATTAGAAAAATATTCTGCGCCAATAATTGTCACCATTTCTACTTCCTGTGTGTATGGCTTTTTCAGTCTCTGCATGGCAGTGACCATGTGTGGAAGATCTAATTTTTTTTCTCAGTTGGTCTGCGGGCATCAGAATCAGAAGGAATTTCTCTCTCGTTCATTCCCCTGTCCCACCTTCTGCAGGGTACGAGGGTAGCAGCCTGCTCAAAGTCCTGAGGGATATCGAGTACAGCACAGAGGTACTGTTGGACCGCTGGAACATTGACATTGTCCCCAGCAATAAGGAGGAAAAAGGTGACCCTGTTCCCTATAGCATCGTCAACAACTACTTCTCCATTGGAGTGGTGAGCATCTTTCTTCTGTGGTTGGTTCTGAAAATAGACCATATACCCATACAGCACTTTGGCGTTCTCCACGTAAAGTAGTCCTTCTGACCATGCTGTGTATCTTTTTGTGTATTTTATTGCATTGCAGACTTTTAAAATATTATTTAGAGCAATTAATTGTAGTGGAAGGCAGCTGTGTATACCTTGAGTACTGTTGCTCAGATACATGGTTTTGCAGAAAATACATATCATATGCATAAATAAATATTGAGTTAAATATCAATATCTCATACAGCTAGAATATATGCATGTATATTCATAAATATGTTCATGTCTGCATACAAATATATGTTCAGTCTCATTTGTACATTTGTGATGTTCAATACGTACAAGTCTTTCATAATATGCAACATTACAAAGAATTTGCTGCAAATTTACAGAAGCACTGAATAGAAATAGAAATAGAATAGTAATAGAAATAGAATAGAATAGTAATAGAAAGTTAAAAAACCGAGACAAAAACCCAGTGACGACATAAGTTACAATGAGAGAGAGCAAAAGAAGCCTTTTTTCTCTAAAATGTTGTGTTCCAAGAATCCCTCCATTTCAATGATGTTTCATGTGATCAGGACTTTTTATTATATACTGTACTAAAAAGGTCTTCATGAAACCCATGCAGTTATTTGAAAGCATATGCATGAATTTATTACAATATGTCTAGAAAACTATTAAATAAATAAATACAGTTGGTTCTTTCTGTTTTGCACCCATGTCCCCATGGGGGGTGCAGAAGGCAACACATCTGAGTTTCACACCCATACAGTGGCACCTTCACTGGCACTACCAGTCAGGCAATGCTCTACAGGAAGTTAGAGGCAGACACTTGCGGACCCCACACGGGTTCCAAACTACAAAGCACATTTAGGTGTTGGCAGAACTCAGAGTTATGTTATTATAAGCTTGGCTTGAACACTTTTAGTGTGTGACTATAGTTCTTGATTCAGGTGACTACAGCCACTGTCACTCTCATTTGCTTCTTCCTGCTGCTATACTCTAAGGCTCGACAAAGCGAGCCCCATGTCTGCTTCACTAGAGCCACACATCTGCTTCACCAGAACCAGTAACCAGGCTCGTTTTATGGACCAACAAAGCAAGCCCCATTTCTGCTTCACCAGAGCCAGTAACCAGGCTCGTTTTACGGCCCAACAAAGCGAGCCACACATCTGCTTCACCAGAACCAGTAACCGGGCTCGTTTTATGGTCCAACAAAGCGAGCCCCATTTCTGCTTCACCAGAGCCAGTAACCAGGCTCATTTTACGGCCCAACAAAGCAAGCCCCATTTCTGCTTCACAAGAGCCAGTAACCAGGCTCGTTTTACAGCCCAACAAAGCAAGCCCCACTTCTGCTTCACTAGAACCAGTAACCGGGCTCGTTTTACGGCCCAACAAAGCGAGCCACACATCTGCTTCACCAGAACCAGTAACCGGGCTCGTTTTATGGCCCAACAAAGCGAGCCCCATTTCTGCTTCACCAGAGCCAGTAACCAGGCTCATTTTACGGCCCAACAAAGGAAGCCCCATTTCTGCTTCACAAGAGCCAGTAACCAGGCTCGTTTTACAGCCCAACAAAGCAAGCCCCACTTCTGCTTCACTAGAGCCAGTAACCAGGCTCGTTTTACGGCCCAACAAAGCGAGCCCCATTTCTGCTTCACCAGAGCCAGTAACTGGGCTCGTTTTATGGCTCAACAAAGCGAGCCCCACTTCTGCTTCACTAGAACCAGTAACCGGGCTCGTTTTATGGCCCAACAAAGCGAACCACTCATCTGCTTCACTAGAGCCAGTAACCGGGCTCGTTTTATGGCCCAACAAAGCGAGCCACTCATCTGCTTCACTAGAGCCAGTAACCGGGCTCGTTTTACGGCCCAACAAAGCGAGCCCTATTTCTGCTTCACTAGAGCCAGTAACCGGGCTCGTTTTACGGCCCAACAAAGCGAGCCCTATTTCTGCTTCACTAGAGCCAGTAACCAGGCTTGTTTCATGGCCCAACAAAGCAAGCCCCACTTCTGCTTTACTAGAACCAGTAACCGGGCTCGTTTTATGGCCCAACAAAGCGAGCCCTATTTCTGCTTCACTAGAGCCAGTAACCGGGCTCGTTTTACGGCCCAACAAAGCGAGCCCTATTTCTGCTTCACTAGAGCCAGTAACCGGGCTCGTTTTACGGCCCAACAAAGCTAGCCCTATTTCTGCTTC